GTAAGTGTAACACACGTAGGTAGCGGTCTTCAGCGGCGGTCGTGACGGGCGGCCTACCACTCCTGGGTCTGTCCGACGTTCTGCCTGTTTGCCTGTAACGTGCCATAAGCCTGGTGATCGTCAAACGGATACAGTTGAAGATTCGGGCAACATGGTCGTGGGTCGCACCAAGCTGGATCATTCCAAGTGCCCGTTCTCTTTGCTCTGCTGTTAATCTTGGCATGGTCGATGATGTTAACGTTGTAATCTGATACTGGCGAACATTTCCATGTGCTTTTATACTCAATACGACCCATGCACGTCATTTTGCACGTGCATGAAAAATTGCCAGTCAAATGCATTTTTCATGACTTTCCATTTCCAAATGCATGTATTTTGGCGCAGGTCCGTTTAAGTTGCGTTCGTGCGAAGGTTTTCTGTTCCAAACCACCTAAAAAGTCTGAGTTCAAATCCAATTTGTCCCCCATTAAAGTTTGGTATCGTTTCTTTTGCCCCTCAGTGTATTTAACCCAGATATGATGTAATACTTCTTAGAAATCATCAGATTTTAAGGAGGTTACCAATATTTGAAGACTGAGCCAAAGTAGTGTTTATTAAGATGTTGTTTTTGGACAAATTGTTCAAGGTTTGTTGATGGTTATTTGGAAAATGAGCTTCATATTAAATTGCACACTGGTTTGAAGGAGGTGAATGCTTCAGGACATTTTCATGTCTGTTTTCCTAAACATTTCAAATTTTGAAACAACTTTAAAATATTTTTTGACACTGTTAAGTATCCCAGAAAAGGAAATAGATCAAAATCAGTGTTATGTCCCTCCCTTAGGGATATGGTCTCAGATGTAATAAAACAAACAGTATCATTGTTTAAGAAACAATACTGTCAGTATGTAATTTTATTGACAAAAAGCTTTGAACATATGATATATTCTTTGTGGCTTATTTACATTAGTAGTTAGCAGTTAAATATCTGAAGAAAAGGCAGTATATTTGTATTTTGTGTAACATTCTACTTCAATCCTAGTTAATTGTTTGGATAACTGTGTATCCTCTGTTCAAATATTTTGAATCACAGGTTTCCTATTTCTGGAAGATAGGTCAGTGTACAGGTGCAGACTGTATCCTGGATCTTCTTTGTGTTCTGGTGCTGTGACGTGCCTGTACATACATGCTGGCAGTTCATGAAGTCCAGTATTATGGAAGTTTGTAAATTAAGTTTCTACAACAAAGTACACATAGAAAAAACATTTGAAAGGATTTGCTTATATTCAGTGTCATTTCAGGATGGTGTACAGATTTTGAAGAGGGAAATGTTACTGAGAATTGCTGCAGATTAGCTGCTGAATATTATTTTTATTCTTGGTACGTCAGATACATCCATGGAAACATAATGTTTACAGGCCCAATCACCTTTTCCAGATTCCCTCGAAAGATCAAATATAGATTATGCTGTGATTGATTTGTTTACATTAATATATACAGACAAATAAGGTGCACCTAGTAGTAGACGGGAAATATTTTTCTACTTTGTTCATTAAAAGGTAGAAAACCCATGTTTTCACATTATTGATGTAACTAAATTTGAACAACAGATAAATGAATACACGCGCACTGTTGACAATCTATTTATAGATACCGAAACAATCTGCACCTTGATCATGTGGCGCTGTGTTCAGGGATTTTCTAAAATAACGATGGGAATGTTTGAGAAAAACAAACAAACATAATTCAGTTAAAAAAAACCCCCCTTGCTAATATCTTATATTTAGACGGACGTGAATTGCCAGATAGAGTATTTGGTTTGAAAGAAAACACGCTTCGGGTCAGGAGCAGCAGCTGGCCGAGACGATTTTTCATCGGGAATGTAACTCATTTTCACTCGCCAATTGCAATCTGTCAACTAAAATCTATTAAAAATAAAATACGTATAACTTTCCTCTTTAAATATCATTCACAAACGACGGATACCACAAGAGAATTCATCAACAACGTTCGCAGTCATATACGGTTCGCCGGCGGTGACGCCATTGTGATTAGTCAGTGGTTGTCCCCCCCTAACGTCAAAAACGAAGTGGGCGGGGCTTATCGGCCGGGACTGGATCGGTCTATTAGGGGACGCTCGCGGTGAAATGCTCGCTCTTCTTCTTCTTCATATAGACTATGAAAGCCACCACTTTGGTTTCTCTAAGATTAATTTTAGCTATCCTAAGTTGGTCCTGAGCAACTTAAACTTTGGATCTTAACTTTACGATTGACTTGGGTAAGATTGGTTAGTGGAACGGTAAGCTGATCGTAACGTCACACTAAGATTGGGATTTTAGGGTTTACGATTGGCGTAGGGCTAAGATTGGTTAGTGGAACGGCACCCTGATCAACAACTCAGTATGGAAATATTTCTATCCAACCGAAGTTTGGCCTCCGGTTTTATCAGATGAAAGTAACATATTACAACACACTTCGTGTTAACTGTGCCATGACATGGACACGAATTGTATAAGCATATTGGGTACTTCCCTAATTCACTGACTGTTTGTATCCAAACTTCTAATATTTGTTTACAAAAATATAAATAAATGTCAATTTCAATGCATATGTGGATATCATTAGGCTCCAGAGGCTTAGATGTAAATAGCTGCGATCATTCTGTCAAACAAGACCATTGTCGTACTTACACTGAGTTTAGACACTAAACATATCCTTTAAAGACAATGTGTGGTTTTCTGAGTTTATTTTAAGTGTAGACTGCATGTATTCCTCTACTCAGTCCAGGTGTGAAATACATACCGAGATATTTATGTTCATATACAGTATCCATAACACGTCCGCCTATTCAGAATACCAAGGTTTTAGTCAGTTCCCTGTAAATGTCATGCAATGATTATTGGGTCTGGGGTTGTACTGTACAGGTCTGAAATGAAGGCTCTGGCCTGAAAACACCAGGTCGAGTCTTGACGAGTGAGTCTGAAAGCAGGTTTTACTGAAAGCAGGTCACAACATTCGAAATAGGAAGTGGTTCTGTGTCCTGACGAAACCAGCTCGAGTCTAATCAAGTGCAAAGGTACAGAAATAATTCAGTGTGAAAATAGCAGAGTTGAAATAAACAATACAAAGGCAATATTGTTACGACAGAGAATTAGTAATAGAAATAATGTTAGTGATAATAATATTCACCTCGCAGCATCAGTGGTCAAGCTAGACGGAGGTTAGACATCCAGGGAAAATGAAATGATCTTCACACACCACCTGATCTTGATGCAATGTAGGATGAGATATGTAGCGCTTGCCCCACATATATAGCCTCATTCCTGAAGTTGTACATGGGTATATAATATGATGAGATATGTAGCGCTTGCCCCACATATATAGCCTTATTACTGAAGTTGTACATGGATATATAATATGATGAGATATGCAGCGCTTGCCCCACATATATAGCCTCATTCCTGAAGTTGTACATGGATACATAATATGATGAGATATGTAGCGCTTGCCCCACATATATAGCCTCATTCCTGAAGCTGTACATGGGTATATAATATGATGAGATATGCAGCGCTTGCCCCACATATATAGCCACATTCGTGGAGCTGTACATGGGTATATAATATGATGAGATATGTAGCGCTTGCCCCACATATATAGCCTCATTCCTGAAGCTGTACATGGGTATATAATATGATGAGATATGCAGCGCTTGCCCCAAATATATAGCCACATTCGTGGAGCTGTACATGGGTATATAATATGATGAGATATGTAGCGCTTGCCCCACATATATAGCCTCATTCCTGAAGCTGTACATGGGTATATAATATGATGAGATATGCAGCGCTTGCCCCACATATATAGCCTCATTCCTGAAGTTGTACATGGATATATAATATGATGAGATATGCAGCGCTTGCCCCACATATATAGCCTCATTCCTCAAGTTGTACATGGATATATAATAAGATGAGATATGTAGCGCTTGCCCCACATATATAGCCTCATTCCTGAAGTTGTCCATGGGTATATAATAAGATGAGATATGCAGCGCTTGCCCCACATATATAGCCTCATTACTGGAGTTGTACATCGGTATATAATAAGATGAGATATGCAGCGTTTGCCCCACATATACAATCTCATTACTGGATTTGTACATCGGGCGAGGGGGGACAGCGGGAAGTGTGGCTATTACATTGCAATGATGGGCCAGCCTGACGAAACGAATTCGAGGGTGGTGGTGGGTCAGTATTGGGATAGTTCAGGCTGCATAAGAGGGGCGGGGTCCTGGACTGTACTGGAACACTGTAATGTTAAACCAACAAAGACAACGGCACATGTTTATGATCGTAATTCATATCCAGCGTGTTCCAGGGTGGTGTGTCAGTTATTCACTGATGTTAACTGTTTTGTTTTACTGATTTAGTTCTATACATTACGATTTGCTAACAAAGATGTGAATAAGGGGCACAAACAAAGATGTCGATAAGGGGCACAAGAAGCCACAAATGTCCTGTGAACCCCGTGTTAACGTGGCCAATAAACAATACGTTAACATGTACCGTAAAGCCTATGTTGCCATGCCCAATAAACAATACATTGACGTGTTCTGTGAAACCTATGTTGCCATGCCCAATAAACAATACATTGACGTGTTCTGTGAACCCTATGTTGCCATGGCCAATTAACAATGCGTTAATATGCTCTGTGAACGCTAAATGATGTTCACAATAAGCAACACGATATTTTGTACACAAGTTTGCAAACAGCCTTTGAAATGAAAACGTTTTAACACTGTCATGTTTGGACCTGAACGTTTTCCACAATGAAAACGCTGAACATGCACGTCCAACATATTGTTTCAAAAGCAGAGGACAAATATTAAATGTGCATGCAGTATGACTGTAAAACATTGGCTTAATTGAAACGAAATAATGATGTTATTCTCATATCTTCTGGTTGGAATATCAAAACAGAATGTTAATTAAGCGTTAAATCTCTGTTGAAGGTCTCACCTGCTGTAGTTCCAGGAAACGTCGTGGTCGAAGTTGTGAGTGACATCTGCGACAATGACGATGTTGTCAGCGAGCTTTCATTTCCTTCACTCGGTTTTACCTCTTTCCTCATACCACAACTTCTATTCAGCGCAATAAAGTCCTCTGAGAGTCCACTGATTACTTCCTTTGTATCAAGCAGATCTTCTTTGGTCTGGTTCAGTTGAGTGGTTAAACTCTGAATGTCTGTGGGTAACCTCAGCTGGATTTCCTGTAGGTCATCCATGCACGATTCAACCTTGCTTCTCATCGTCACACAACTTGTATTCAGCGCAATAAAGTCCTCAGTAAGACCAATGACTTTTCGCTTTGTGTCACAAAGATCATCGTTGGTCTGATTTAGTTCGGACTTCAGCATCCTTGCATCACGCAAGTCAGCAACAGTCCGATTCAGCTGTGATGCGCGGATGTCTTCGGTCAATCTGCGACGTTGTTTTCGAAGACTCTTTCTGTAAGTGTCTCTATCCCGTTCAACACGTCTCAGCTGTTCTGCCAAGGTTTTGAGTTGTGACTTTGTGTATTGTACATTTGCCTTAACGCTTTGAACTTCCCTGAGAACATGTCCGGTAATAATGTTGCCAATATAGTCTTCGTTCATGATGTCGGTTATAGCTTGTTTGACGAGAGGCTTTATCAAGGGAGGGAGGAATCTTCCGGTCAGTTCTTCTTTCAGTGATGACTTATTAGGTCTTCAGACGAAAGTCTGGAAGACCTACTGTTATTATCCGAATATTATTCTTCTTTTCTTCTTCTTCTTCTTATTATTTGTACAATTTTTGTGACAGCTCTCCTGACCTAACCGCTGGGCCGATTTTCATGAAACTTTCAGAGGTGATAGCCTGTGTGCTGAAATTGATACATAGTCGAAAAAATCCAGACTTCCGGCTTCCGGTAAGGGCAGAGAACCCAAAATGTCAAAATATTTCAAACTTTTCCAACGTCTATATCTCCAATACTATTAGAGATAAATTGACCAAATTTTCACTCAATGTAGACACCAACCTTCCCCATGGATCCAACCATAGCCGAAGTTTCGCGGCAGAATAGATTTTCCGAAATTTTGAAAAAACTGAAATTTTTGCCGATTTCCTCGTTTTGACGGTGGCTGTCTTTAAAAATCTTCTTCTCCAGAACGGCATATAGTACAATCGCGTTCGATATATCATTTTAAAGCCCACCCTCTGGACTACTTAGGTTGTTCAATGCATATCGATATCTTGAATAGTTGAAGAGTTATCGCCCTTGGAAGTCAGTGATTTTTTTAAGACGCATTTTTATAGGGTTAAGAAAGAGGTCACAACTCTGCGGAAAATCGATGAATTCCATCTTCCATAGTATCAAACTGTAGGTAATTGGATGGGAAACATTTTTGCTTCACATCATGGTTATGAAAAAATCAATAATAACGTCACCATTACGACGCAAACACAGCCTTCGCGATTTCGCAAATTTCTGCACCTTTTTGACGGTGCCTCTGTTTAACAATCCTCTGCTCCTGAACGGCAAATAGTACAATAGTGTTCTATATATCGTTTTAAAGCCCACACTCTGGACTAGTTAGGTTGTTCAATGCATATCGATATCTTGAATCGTGTCGGAGTTATTGCCCTTGGAAGTTGGTCAATTTTTGGCCGAACGCATTTTTATAGGGTTCACAGCTCTGCGAAAACACAATGGATTTTCTTTTTGAAGGTACCAAACTGTAGACAATAAAATGTGGAACAATTTTGCTTCACATTATCATTATGTAAAAGTCAATAGTTACGCCACAATTACGCCACAAACAGCTAGGGACATTAGGATTTCGCATTTTTCCAGTTGTGAGATAGCTGGAGGAAGTGTCGTAAAATATAGCACCACTGCCCGTGTCCTGGTTTTCCTGTGCCCACAGAAATAGTTCCCTCTTTAACAGGCCGTAACTCTGTTGTTCATAAGTCTACATTCAAAAGAATTAGTGTTCTGGAATTGCCAGGATGTGATCTCTCCAGCAGTCTGCAACATGTACCAGTAATCTCTCTTATAGTATATGTTTTTTCTGCAGTTTGTGAATTTTCCGTTTGTGTCAGCAGCATTGAATCAATGCCAAATTAATCTCAGGTTGGAACCCCGGCCTTTAACCGCACCACAGTAATGTTTTAAAGGTTGGGTTGAGTTGAGTTGGGCTTTTACGTCGCTTTATTCCAGCCAGCCATATAGTGATAAGAACAAGTCTGCATTAGTACACATGGTAAGTACAGAGTCAAAATGAGTTTTATTTAAAAAAACATCTATTCATTACGTTGTCATTTAAAAACAGAAAAGTCATAGCACTAAATTTAAAAGCAGGCAGTTTGTTAGTCACATCACACAGTTGCAATTTATAATACAGATAAACTTCCCTCAGGTTGTTCACTATCAGATGATAGCGCTCACGCGGGAGAAAATATATCTCCTATAAAGAGACTACCACTGCAAAGCGTGGTCCACGTGCAGATATGGGAGACGATGTCAATTTCAACGGCAGATGTAATTGACAATGACAAGGAGCTGTCAAATCTGAGTTGGAACGTCATCCAATGCCCAAAGAAATAGCGTTACATCGGCATTATCCTTCACAAGTGCAGAATTTGCACATACGTGTATGCGTCAGATAGCTAGGATCACGGCGTTTCCAGAACACTAATCGTTTGGACCGTAGGCCCAAGGACGGCGGAGCTACAGACAGTTAAAGAAAGAACTATACCTTCTGTGGGAACTACTTAAGGTACATGACCCCGCGACCCCGGCTGCATTTCACCGATCCGCTCTCGTGTCAAAAACGTGTTCTGCCTGGGTTTTGAACGCTTTCTAGCCCTTAAATACTCTTCAAACACCCGTAACTCCGACAGTTAAAATTGACGGTCCAGCTGGCGTCCAAAGAAACGGTACAAGTAAAGGTAGCCACGGGGGAGGAAGTCTGAAGACCGTCAGTATTGCCCTGGAGGCAATCCTAGTTATTATTATTATTATTATTTGGCTTCTCAGAAAGCTTCTCTACAAAAGACCGACTCAAGGCACATTTGGTGAAGGACTTCACCTGGTTTACTCCCATCGCTGTACCGTCCAGCAGTACATCGCAATCAACAAAATCAACCTCAAATCTCAGATTCTGTCCAACAACCTTTGCACGCTAAAAATTGCTGTGGAATTCCTGGTTTTTATCATGAGTCTTCACATGCATCACTAGAGGATCATCCGATAAATAGATATGTGCAAAAGTACACAATAAAATTCTATCATGAAGAGCCTCCACATTAATCGAACCCCGACCTCCAGAATTGATTGGCATTTATATACGGTCAACAGAGGAACGAGGGTGGCGTGCTCTGTTATCAGACATGATCTTTCTGGTCAGGCGGTCAAGACTCTGGATATCTTGTTTTGTCCAATCTACTACTCCAAAGGAATAGGAGAGGACTGGAACGGCAAAAGTATTGGTGGCTTTGACTTTGTTTCCAGCATTTAGCTCTGAGCTCCAGATTTTCGTTCAGCGAGATTTATACTCGACCCGAAGTTTGTCTTAAATCCCGAACTTGCATTCCATTATTATTATTATTAGCAAAATTCGAGTGTTGCAATTATGATTCCAGTTGGGACAACATGAGGCGCAGTTCGACCAGTCATTGTGAAACCACCCATTCCATTATGGACCCACCCCAAATGCGATCGTGCGGTCGATTGTGCTGTACGACATAACCTGTGTACAGCGCATGGCAGGACGTCAGCCCCCCCCGGTTCTGTGAGACCTACTGTGCACTGTGTGGAAAATGTAAGACCAGCAACATCCTGTTTGGACTGTGTGAGACAGTATACTGTGTGGGTTGTGTGAGACCCACTGTGTACCATGTGGGTTGTGTGACATCCAATGTGTAGTCTGTGGGTTGTGTGACATCTAATGTGTACTGTGTGGGTTGTGTGAGACTGTGTACTGTGTTGGTTGTGTGATACACACTGTGTACTGTGCGGTTGTGTGAGACCCACTGTGTACTGTGACGTTGTGTGGTACCCACTGTGTACTGTGTGGGTTGTGAGAGACTCACTGTGTACTGTGGGGGTTGTGTGAGACCCACTGTGTACTGTGTGGGTTGTGTGAGACCCACTGTGTGCTGTGTGGGTTGTGTGAGACCCACTGTGTACTGTGAGGCTGTATGGTACCCACTGTGTTCTGTGTTGGTTGTGTGATACACACTGTGTACTGTGCGGTTGTGTGAGACCCACTGTGTACTGTGACGTTGTGTGGTACCCACTGTGTACTGTGTGGGTTGTGAGAGACTCACTGTGTACTGTGGGGGTTGTGTGAGACCCACTGTGTACTGTGGGGGTTGTGTGAGACCCACTGTGTACTGTGTGGGTTGTGTGAGACCCACTCTGTGCTGTGTAGATTGTGAGAGACCCACTGTGTACTGTGTAGGTTGTGAGAGACCCACTGTGTACTGTGGGGGTTGTGTGAGATCCGCTGTGTACTGTGGGGTTGTATGGTACCCACTGTGTACTGTGGGGGTTGTGAGAGACCCACTGTGTACTGTGGGGGTTGTATGGTACCCACTGTGTGATGTGGGGGTTGTGAGAGACCCACTGTGTACTGTGGGGGTTGTATGGTACCCACTGTGTTCTGTGTGGGTTGTGAGAGACTCACTGTGTACTGTGGGGGTTGTATGGTACGCACTGTGTGATGTGTGTGTTGTGGGAGACCCACTGTGTACTGTGGGGGTTGTATGGTACCCACTGTGTTCTGTGTGGGTTGTGAGAGACCTACTGTGTACTGTGGGGGTTGTATGGTACCCACTGTGTTCTGTGTGGGTTGTGAGAGACTCACTGTGTACTGTGGGGGTTGTATGGTACCCACTGTGTTCTGTGTGGGTTGTGAGAGACCCACTGTGTACTGTGGGGTTGTATGGTACGCACTGTGTGATGTGTGTGTTGTGAGAGACCCACTGTGTACTGTGGGGGTTGTATGGTACCCACTGTGTTCTGTGTGGGTTGTGTCAGACCCACTGTGTGCTGTGTGGGTAGTGTGAGACCCACTGTGTACTGTGTGGGTAGTGTCAGACCCAATGTGTATTGTGTGAGTTATGTGAGACCCACTGTGTACTGTGTGGGTTGTGTGAGACCCACTGTGTGCTGTGTGGATAGTGTGAGACCCACTGTGTACTGTGTTGGTTGTATGGTACCCACTGTGTACTGTGTGAGTTGTGTGAGAGACACTGTGTGCTGTGTGGATAGTGTGAGACCCAATGTGTACTGTGTGGGTTGTGTGAGACCCACTGTGTGCTGTGTGGGTTGTGTAACACTGTCTACTGGGTGGGTTGTGTAAGACGGTCTACTGTGTGGGTTGTGTGAGACTGTGTACTGTGTGGGTTGTGTAAGACTGTGTAGTGTTTGGGTTGTGTGAGACTGTCTACTGTGTGGGTTGTGTAAGACGGTGTACTGTGTGGGTTGTGTAAGACGGTCTACTTTGTGGGTTTTGTGAGACTGTGTACTGTGTGGGTTGTGTAAGACTGTGTACTGTTTGGGGTGTGTGTGAGACTGTCTACTGTGTGGGTTGTGTGAGACCCACTGTGTACTGTGTGGGTTGTGTGAGACCCACAGTGTATAATGTGGGTTGTGTGAGACCCCCTGTGTTCTGTGTGGGTTGTGTAACACTGTCTACTGTGTGGGTTGTGTGAGACTGTCTACTGTGTGGGTTGTATAAAACTGTCTACTGTATGGGTTGTGTAAGACGGTGTGCTGTGTGGGTTGTGTAAGACGGTCTACTGTGTGGGTTGTGTAAGACTGTGTACTGTGTGGGTTGTGTAAGACTGTCTACTGTTTTGGTTGTGTAAGACGGTCTACTGTTTTGGTTGTGTAGGACTGTGTACTGTTTGGGTTGTGTAAGACTGTCTACTGTTTGGGGTGTGTAAGACTGTCTACTGTGTGGGTTGTGTAAGACTGTGTACTGTTTGGGGTGTGTAAGACTGTGTACTGTTTCGGGTGTGTGTGTGTGTGAGACTGTCTACTGTGTTGGTTGTGTAAGACTGTGTACTGTGTGGGTTGTGTAAGACTGTCTACTGTGTGGGTTGTGTAAGACTGTGTACTGTGTGGGTTGTGTAAGACTGTGTACTGTTTGGGGTGTGTAAGACTGTGTACTGTTTGTGTGTGGTGTGTGTGTGTGTGTGTGTGTGTGTGTGAGACTGTCTACTGTGTGGGTTGTGTAAGACTGTCTACTGTGTGAGTTGTGTACGACTGTGTACTGTTTGGGGTGTGTAAGACTGTCTACTGTGTGGGTTGTGTAAGACTGTGTACCGTTTGGGGGTGTGTAAGACTGTGTAAGGTGTGTGTGTGTGCTGTGTGGGTTGTGTAAGCCTGTGTACTGTTTGGGGTGTGTAAGACTGTCTACTGTTTGGGGTGTGTGTGTGTGTGTGTGAGACTGTCTGCTGTGTGGGTTGTGTGAGACCCACTGTGTACTGTGTGGGTTGTGTAAGACTGTGTACTGTTTGGGGTGTGTAAGACTGTGTACTGTTTGGGGTGTGTAAGACTATGTACTGTGTGGGTTGTGTAAGACTGTCTCCTGTGTGGGTTGCGTGAGACTGTCTACTGTGTGGGTTGTGTAAGACTGTGTACTGTTTGGGGTGTGTAAGACTGTGTACTGTTTGGGGTGTGTAAGACTGTGTACTGTTTGGGGTGTGTAAGACTGTGTACTGTTTGGGGTGTGTAAGACTGTGTACTGTTTGGGGTGAGTAAGACTGTGTACTGTGTGGGTTGTGTAAGAATGTGTACTGTTTGGGGTGTGTAAGACTGTGTACTGTTTGGGGTGTGTAAGACTGTGTACTGTTTGGGGTGTGTAAGACTGTGTACTGTTTGGGGTGTGTAAGACTGTGTACTGTGTGGGTTGTGTAAGACTGTGTGCTGTGTGGGTTGTGTAAGACTGTGTACTGTTTGGGGTGTGTAAGACTGTGTACTGTTTGGGGTGTGTAAGACTGTGTACTGTTTGGGGTGTGTAAGACTGTGTACTGTTTGGGGTGTGTGTGTGTGTGAGTGTAAGACTGTCTACTGTGTGGGTTGTGTGAGACCCACTGTGTACTGTGTGAGTTGTGTGAGACCCACTGTGTGCTGTGTGGGTTGTGTGAGACCCACTGTGTGCTGTGTGTGTAAGGACGTTAGTGCATTGTAAGTGCACACATTATATACCGGCTGTTCTACACCCAAGTTAGCCTTGCTCCAAGGCCTTACTGAATGCTGAGCCCATGGATGTATAGTTATTCTATCTTTCGTAGAGGCAGGTCTAGATAAGTTGACAGTACAAGGACCCCAGTCTGTCATTTATTCTTTTATTTAGAAATGATCTTTTAAACTATTAATTGTTACCTTTGGGAACTTGTGCAAGTCTACACTGGCGGCATCACAAGCTCCTCGGCCAAACAGTCTGTGCTGGACGATACAACACGAGAACTGGCTCATCAAGTAATTACATACAACGTTGTCACTTCAGAGATGGGGCACTGGTTGCCCCCATGACTCAGGTGACACAGTGTACTGTACAGGGTTGTTGATCCTGTGATACGACGCTAGTGTTTTATGGGTAGGGGAAAACGGATACATTACCGTAGGTTCATACTTTCATCATATATAGGCATTTGGATTTGGTCCAAAGTCTTACAGTGTTGTGTACAGTGTTACAGAATCAGTCATCGGGCATTCTCTCAACATGCAGGAATCTCCATTCTGTTCTGGTATAGCCTTGGCATACCACCAACCCTACAGCTAGAGGTTACAGAAACCCTATATCAAGTTACACCATTCTGTCTTACAGCCAAGTAGTTTTTAATACTTGTGGGTGCTGTACGAGTTACAAGTGCTTGTAGCACTGGGACTTGCCCCCTGTCTTTACAGACAGTAAGATAAAGCGTCAAATCGTGTCCATCTGACAATTTGGGTTTGTTGTTAATTGCCAGGGCCCGGTTGTCCAAAAGCCCGTTACATATTAAAGGACCGTTAACTAGTCTTAAACAGGGCCCGGTTGTCCAAAAGCTGGTTACATATTAACAGACCGTTAACTAGTCTTAAACAGGGCCCTCGTTGTTCAACAGCCTGTTAAATTTTAACGGACCGTTAACGTCAGGAGAGCGAACACCTGTTGCTCAGAGCTCCGTTAACCTTTAGCGGCCCGTTAAGACCATGTTAACTTAACGCAACGTTATCATTACCATTTCAAGATCTAGCTCCATGGTGACAGCGAGGCGTTCACCATCTTTCGTTTGTTTGTTACCTCAGTGAGGAATTTCTGGCTAAGAATGTCAGCATTTTCATGAAACAAGAATCTTCTTCTGCACTGTTTTCTTTTTTCTTCTTTTTCTTTTCTTAGAATAAGGAGTTATTGAGGTGATCATCTCAGGAGCTTGTGGTAGCGATGCCATTTTGACAGGGAATCATGGTACAGTGTGCAAGGAGTTGTGGGTAAAGGCTAAGTCCTAAATAGGCTGTAGACCTCTAATCATACCGTTAGTTAACAGCCTGTTTAAAAGACCCCTCAGCAATCACATTTGAATGCATCGTTAACTAACTTTTCGTTAGCTATTTAACGGATCGCTTGTGTTTATCGGTGTGCGTTAGAATAATGGCGTTTTGAAGAACCGGACCCATGTCTTAAGCATGAGAGATTCTGTGCCCAACTACTACCATGAATGTTTGTTGGTTGGTTTGTTTTCTGTTTAACGCCGCACTGTGCAATATTCCAGCTACACGGCGACATACAAAGGACAGTACAGCTAGTTCATCACATTTATTGTTATA